ACCCAAGGAGACGTGACAGCATTCTGAAACAATCTCACTATCCTGGGAAGCATATTATAGTGCGAGCAGCCATTTTACAGGCGCTAAATAAAAACTCAAACATACCGACAAAGAAAATGCTGGTTTGGTCGTGTTTGCATAGATCAGAGGTCAGTGTTGAATTGTAATTTGCTTGAACTGAACCATTAATTTCTTAGTTGCGATGGGGCTGTTCGACAAAGTTGACGAAGTGATGGACATGTTTTTTCTTGTATGACATATCCTCGTTCAGAACTTACCTTTTTTGTTATATAGGGTAAGTTAGTGTGTGTGTGACGGGGGCTCTGGTGTGGTTTGCTCCTTCTTTCCAATGTCAAACACAATCCATTGTCCTTATCTCTCTTTCTTTTTTTGTGTGTGTGTTTGTTACATTCTTAAAACACCTCTAATCTTCGGCACGTATGTGACCTAATTGTGTTACAAATGCCGTTAAAACTCTAACTAAAACTAAGAAGATTATAGCCGTGTTATTCAAAATGACGCAGTCCCGCCCATGTAGTTGTCGGTGATAATGCTTAATATGGTTCATGGGTATTATAAACTTTCATGTCTTTGCACGAACATGTACAAAAGACGTACTTACACACATACCCATACCTATACACGCACGCTTTTACACATACACACACTGACACACAAACAAACAAACACACAAATGGTCTCTTTTAAGCACAAGGGGGTTATCCCGAAAAATGCTGATTTGAGAAAAATCAAAGGTAAAGTTTTTACCCCTTGTTCAGTTTCTTGAAAGACAAGGAGAGTTTTTTCTGTAAGCAAGCAAATATACGTACCAATGAAACCAAACTTCTCCTATAGGTAGGGAAATGCCCACTTTTGGTGTAGGTCAAGATTTCTGGAAACCCCTGGAATGTGGGTTAACCCGCTTGTCCTTAAAAGCGACCAAATAAAAGGAGCTATGTGTACCAAGAAAAGTGCGTGTGCGAGAGGTGCAGAAACAAAAGAGGCATAAAGAATAACAATAATGTATAGGATATCTTGTACAGGAGACCGTGTTTTTCATTTTACTAATGTATTTTACTCACAGATGCACTAACCCCCCCCCC